CGTTGGGAGGAGGGGCACGGGCAGGGGGGCTGTGGGGAGGAGGGGCCTGGGGGTGGGGCCTGGGGTAGGGGTGGGGAGGAGGGGGTGTAGCGTAAGTGGGAACTCCGTGTTCTCTAGCAATAATTCTGTAAACCTAAAACTGCTTCAAAATTTAGAAAAATGACCTTTGAAACAACCTGAACAGAGGATCTGAGACCTGCGGAACCATATCAAACGGCTTAACATTTGTGTAGCTGGAGCCCCAGAGGAAGACTGTGTGAGTCAGGGCAATCGTTGGAGAGATGATGGCCAGGAATTTCTCAAAACTGACCAAAGACATACACCTACACGTCCAAGAAGTGCCGTCTATTCCAAGCAGCACGAGCACGGAGAAGGCCACACATGCAGCCCCACCACGGGCAACTCCCTGAGAACCAGAGAGAGAGAAGCAGCCAGCGCAGAGAGAGGACATTAAATCGGGGGGCAGCAGAAAGAGGCATGGCTGGCTTCTCGCCACGAAGGAGGGAGGTCGGAAGACGATGGCACAGACCCTCGAAGGAAACAAACCGCCAACTTAGAAAGGATGCGGTGAGAGCGAAGCAGACATCGCAGCTAAAGGCTGCGGGAATGTGTCCTCCTTGCAGGTGCACTCAGCACAACACACGCTAAAGAAAGGCTTCCCGCAGAAGGAACAGGCGGCCAGGCAGAGCCAGGCTGGCGGGAAGGAACCGGGGCCCAGAAAGGGAAAGTCAGGGGAAATGGGGTGAGTGAAGTGTGGTGGGGACCCAGCAGTGCCTCCGGTGGATCTGCTCCCTGGCTGGTCAGAGAAAACCAGAACAAACGGCCAGCACCGCAGGGGCCACGTCGCCCCGCGTCCTCGGCGGCTGCCAGCCTTCTGGTTGGGGGAGGTTCCGGGGCTAAGTTGGCCAGATGCTCCAGCTCAGGACTGGCTGGAGGACACAGTGGGCTCTGGAGGTGACACTTCCAAACTGAATTAGACGGGGCAGTCGTGTTTTGCTCATCACCCTTTACCCTACGCCGCCTCGTCTAACTGTCACAAGAAGCTCGCGCGTGTCGCCACCTCCATCTCCTGATGCGAGAACTGGCGGGCACGTGGGGCGGTGCGCCGAGGCCGGTCACCAGCAGGTGGCGAGGTTTGGGCTGCCATGCCAGCCCCCGGGTGTAACCTCATCCAAACTCTCCATATTCCCGAGCAAGAGGAAAACCAGACCAACAAGGCCTGCGACACAAAGGCTGCATAGAAGCGACATCATCCCCTGACGCCGAAGTGGGGTCAACCGGGCACGAAGCAGACAGGCCCCAAGCAGGGCTCTCTCCCCGTCAGCGCCCAGCAGCTCTCCCTGTAGCCAAGGGACACCTGCTACTCTTTGCTCTTTTGACGTTGCTTGAGTAACTTCTGTAATGTGCTAACTATTTGCACGCAGACTCTCTATATTAAGCAAAACCCAAACTGATGTTCCCTCTGGAAGTCTGGTCCTCCTAAAGGTTAACCGTGATGTGAACAAGTTGCTTCTTCTTCCTGTCTGTCTCTGTCTCTGTGTCTCTCTCTGACAGCAGAGGGCTCCGGGGAACTCTCCTGGGTGGAAAATAGCCGTCCTCCCTGGGGCACGTAGGCTCGCAGGCTGGTCGCCCGCTGGCGTGGGCTGCGAGTTTGCGTGACCCTGTGGTCACGGAAACCCCAAGCCGGGAAGCTGGTGTTCGGCAGCCCCAGGCCGGCAGCGCCCCAGCGCGCCTGGTGGAGGCGCACGCAGCCGTTCCCTGGAGGGAAACCCGCTCAGCCCGAGGGACCTGGGGTTCTCGCAGGTAACGCCGATCTGAGCGTAAACTTAGCTGTGTGAAAGGAGGCGTCCATGAGTGAGAAACAGCAAACAGCAGGACCAGAGCCCCAGGATTTCATACTCTGGGATTACCCGATCCAGAATGTGTGGAAGCTGGCATCACAGGCCGGGAGCCTCGATGCCTCCCTGGCCCCGTGCCTTCGCACGTGGCTGTGTGGCTGCTCCCAGCGAGGGGCAGAGAGCCTTCCTCCCGCTCCTCTCTGTGGGTTTGCCCCTGCGGCTCTGGGAATAGAATGAGGTGGGAATGAAGTGCTCCGCTCCTGAGCCTAGGCCCTCCGAGGCCTGTGTGTGTTCTCCTGTGCCCTCGAACTTCTGCAAGGAGAGGGCTGTGCTTGCTGGTCCTCGGAGGAGGGTGAGATTCACGGCACTGGGCCTGACCCGCAGCAGCGGGCCCCGGCCGTCCCGGGTGTGTCGTGACCAATAGCTCTTGTTTTATGCCCCCGAGTGTTGGAGTGGTTTGTCAGGCAGCAACAGCCAGCCAGTGCAGAAATAACCCAAGCGTGTTTGAATTATTGAAAGAGATAAAAGTTAAAAACAAAGACAGAGAAGATTTGCAAATGTTAGCTACTGCATATAAAAATAGATTTAAAAAATGGCTTCTGTGTGGCACAGGAAATCCAGTATCTCGTAATAACGTTTATGAAAATGAGTGTGAAAATGAATGCATGTATGCATATGCCTGACCAGGGCAGGGTGCTGCACACCAGAAACGGACGCATGGTTACTGACTGTACTTCAGTTAGGGAAAAAAGGCCAAGAAAAATGCATCTAGGTACAGCCAACTGCTGTAAACCAAAGATAAAGAGAGCATCTTGAGGGCGGCCCCGAAAGGGAGGCACCTACTGGTGGGGGGGCGAAGCTGGGAAGTACAGCAGGCTTCTCATCAGAAGCCACGTGGGCCAGAAGGCAGCGGAGCGACTGAGAGGGAGAAACCTCGTCAGCCCAGATTCTATGCCCGGAGCAAGTAGCTTTCAAAATGCAAATGAAGTAAAGGCCTTCCCAGACAAATGAAAGCCGAGAGAGTTCTTCCCAGCACACTCGCTCGGCAACAGATGCTCAAGGAAGCTCTTCAGGAAGACCGCGACGCCAGGCGGGAATCTGGGTCTGCACCAAGAACGAAGCGCACGCAGACGGTGAAGAAGAACGGTGGGCGAGACGGTGAGGCTCACCCAGACCTAGGGTTTGTGGAGCTCTGGAAAGATAATTACCTCACACTTGTGCGGGCCCCTTCACATAGCACACCTGATAGCTGCCTACAGACTGCTGGCTGTCAGGCATGCAGAGCATCCCCTGGAGGCGCGGTGAGTCACATGAGCTCGGGGCCGTGTCCCAGGTTAGGAACTGTCACAAGGGCTTTTCCATTGGAGCTTGGGACCTTTGTAACCACTGGGCAAGGTGAAATGGGGCTCAGTTTTTAAGAACTGTTTGAAGGGAAGGTCAGAGAGGAATGGAAAAGAACTTTGAAACTGAGAAATGTCATTTGAATGGCCTTGCACCCAGAGTAGGTTATCGTGAGTGACATCTGTCAGCCATTAGTACCCTGTGCCCAGGCCGCGTGGGATGACAACCCACACTGAACTAAAACACGTTTTTTAAGCACGAGATTGATATCTGAGATGGATGAAGATGGGCCTGTGATTAACTAATTTGACAGGAAAAAACCAACTGAAACAAGTTAGCTCCGAATGATGAGAAAACTGAGCAGCAACAAGGACAGGAAGTGCGACCCAGCTATCGCCCGTAGCGCAGCTGTGAGCAGCTCTCCCCCGCAGAACTCCTGTGACGGTGAGCACGGATTTGTCCCAAAGCAACAGCACACCTGCCCAGGCCAGCGGAAGCCTGGACGCTTCCATCTGCCTCCCAGTCGGGATGTCAGGAACCATTCTGACAGTGAGTCAGCGACACAGCCCAGTTTTTATTTTATTTTATTTTATTTTATTATATTTTATTATATTTATATTTTATATTTTATTATATTTATTTTATTATAAAACCTGGCCACAGACAGCACGACAGACATTTTTCAAAGTGTTCCTGATGTGTGAAATCACCGAGCCCCAAGGGAGGCTCTGCCATGTGTGCGCTGTTCTGTTCCATTTTACAGATAAGGAAACTGAGGCACAGAGGTAAGCAGAAAGCCTTCCAAGGTCACACGGCTGGGATGTGGGGCCGGGGAGTGGGGATGGCATCACCAGCCAGGCTGTCGGCCTTCGGAGCCTGGTTTTTAACCACAAACCGAGAATGCCTCTCCGCGATCTAACGCTGACGACAAGGAGAGAAGGTCCAAAGATAAGGTTTAGACACACGAGGGGACACTCCAGGCCAGGGGTTGGCAATATTTGTCTGTGAAAGGCCAGATAGTAAGTATTTTAGCCTTTGTGAACCACCTACAGACTGGCCTATTTGACTTAGCTCTTGCGCGTGAAACCATCCACAGGCAATACAGACATGAATGGGCACAGCTGGGTTCCAATAAAAAGGTATTTACGGAAACGGGCAGGGGCCAGGTTTGGTCTCTGGGCTGTGGTTTGCTGGCCTCCGCACTAGACAGCGAGTCTGGCTGTTTCCGAGGAGGAGAATTCCAGGGTGGGTGGGGATGTGAGCATGGGACCGGATTTCCTGCTTCAAATTTCATAAAGAACATTTGGTTTTCTGAAAAAGATTTATCTATAACTTCTGGAGTAAATATGAGAAGAACAAACCTAAGACAAGCATTAAAAAGACAGTGATATAAAACTTCCAAGCCAGTGGAGGGAAAACGGAGTGAAAAAACAATAGATTGATCCAAAAGAAGGCAAGAAAAAAGACAAAAGAGGCGTGAGAAGCACGCAAGAACAGAAAGAAACGAGCGTTTCAGTCATCACAGTGAACTAAACCCTTCCGGTAAAAGACAGGCCAAAATCCAGCTACACACGCACCTAAAGATAACGAAACAACGTTTGAAAGAAAAAGTAGACAGCAAATGTTAACTCCTATCAGCAGAACAGAATTTAAATAAAAAAAAAATGAAGGCAAAAGGCACTGTTAAGCTAGAAAGGGTCGTCACGCAGTTACACACAGTGAAGATACACTGATTCGAAATTTGTGTTCACGTTACAATGTAGACTTAAAATACGCAAATTAATACTTGACATAAATTACAAGGCAAATTGTTAGTTCAACTATCAGTTTGCCCCAGAGGGCAAGATTTTAGCACATAGGTCTTTCAAAAATGGAAAGAAAAAGAAAATAGAAAAAAGCGAATATATAGAAGAGTTGACCGACCTGATGAATAGACCTAGCCCTTTCCCTGTGTCTCCGCTCCCCCTGCGGCGGGTGGGGTGTTCCCTGTAAGCGCACACGGATTACTTATAAACCTGGCCCTGTGTGAGCCCTAAAGCCTCAGCAAACAGCAAGGAATCAGGTTCACATAAACCACGGTTTCTGACAACAATGCAGTTAAGTTAGAAACCAGTTAAAGAAGGCAATTAAGAAAAATCTCCATGCATCTAGAAATTAAAAAAATGACTTCTAAATACACCATGAAGCGATGAAAAAGACCATAGCAGAAACGAGAAAGTGCTTAGAAATAAGTAGCAGCATGTGAGCCTGTTAATGAGCTGAACCGGGACCTGAGGCCGCAGTGGGCTGCAGGTCCTTTCTGGGGGGCGGGGCAGGAGTCCTGGCTGAGCGGCTTGGCGGACACCCCACTTGTGTTTAGGGGGCTGTGAGGCGGCGGCGGCTGGGCGGGGAAGGCCCCTCCTGTCATGACGGAGCTGAGGAGCCCTGCGGCGGGGGTGCGGCCGGGTCTCACCCTGTCCCCTGGAAGCCTCCAAACCAGGTGTTCGCAGCCCAGGGGCCCCCAGTGAGGCTCCCCGGGGTCTGGGCTCTCCAGGGCTCTCCGGGCAGGGAGCGATCGTCCCCCCACCCCGTGACCAGGGCGCTGCAGGGTCCGTCTCTGCTGACAGGTGCCCACAGGGGCCAGAGCCTGCCGCGCCTGGCACGGTCTGCCAGGCACCCGGTCGGGTGGGAGCAGCCCGGGCAGGTCCTGCTGCAGTGCCGGTGGCTCTGGCCAGTGAGGGGACTTCCTGGTAAGAAGGGCTGGGCCGCTCTATTGCTGAGGGCACCTGGTGAGCACCCCTCCTGCAGACCCCCGAGTCCTGAGCTGCGCCCCGCCGCCTGCCCCTCTGCTGGAGG